GAGATTCTAGGAGTCCTGCTGTTTATTGATAGTTGATTTGCTGCCGGAGCTTAATTTCCTTGTTCGTTTAATTTGCAACTGGTGAATACCTTGACTCTTGCAATTCTATGCTTAGTTGTGGTCATGACCTGAATACCATGCTTGTTCGAATTTTCTGAACCTACATGATTACAATATGTTGTTACATTTGTTTGCAATCATATCTGCCTTGAAGTTAGCTTATAGCCTTGTATTCTCTAGCATCTAAACTTGCCTAAATCCTGTACTCGGATGTCTGCCCACTATGTATATTTTTGCCATCTCAAACCTACTTAGTCTACTATGTTTATGCACACATGAGTTTCCTATGTATGTTGCTTGCCCATGTTCATGCACTGCTCTGAGTTATTGTATTAAAACTCTTGGGATACTTATTCATGCCCAGAATTTGCTCGACTGTATTTCTTTATGCTAAGCCATTCAGGCATAACTTGCTACTTGGTCATGTCTGTATAAACTCTGAACTCTTCAAACAAGCACGCTACTCTACCATTTGTGAACCCTAATCCTCATTATAGTTGTTTGATTTACTATTATCCTGTTTTGTAGACTCATGCCTACTAATACTAGGATTGCTCAGGTTTAATGCCTAGGGAATCTTTGATATCAATTTGTATTAAGTACTTGTTCACTGACTAGTTGTGGTATTGAGTTTGTGATATTGTTGACCCTAAGCTTCTGTAATAGGCTTCCTTAGTAGCATTTCTACTTGCCCTGAATTGGTCTGCAACTCTTAGTTATGCCATGCCTTGAATCCTTATGTTCTTCTTGAGAAGACTGTTGTGGTATATACCCCAAAGGGGAGTCTATCGAACATGTCATTATCATTTGTTAATCTTCTTAGAACTAATACCTGTCCTTAACTCTCATGCTGAGTTTCTTGCTTTGTGGATTCATGTTGCTCATAACTAATATGGTACATCTTAAGAAGTCTATGCTTTGAACTTATTTGTTAGTTTGAAAGCCTCACTTATGTGCTCATTGTAAGGTCTTTGTACATGTGCGTCCTCTCACCTGTTAGATATCACCCCTAAATTGATACTTATAAAATCTTTCTGCTAATGATTGTAATAATAGAAATCCATGTGTCTTTGCCTGGGCTCTGAGCCATTTGAATGACATGTTTTATGAGTTCCTGTCATTTGTTAATGGGTAAGCAAGATAATTGTTTTCATGTTTGGGGCCTGGCTTATTGGGCCGTGTGTGTTATTGGATCTGAGCATTGGTCAAACAAGCTTGCGAGCCTGGGTATTGGGCATGTTTGATATGCAAAACTATGGTTGGTGAAGGCTCATAAGGGCACTGCTGGGTTACTTTGTACTTGTGCTGGACCTGTAATTGTTGTATTTGGGCCTGTAACAGCCCTATTAAGTTTGTATTTGTTTTATTATTCTAAACTGGGCCTGTAATAATTTGTAAACAAATAATTGGGGGCATTAATGAATATGGGGGTTGGGGTATTCTAATACTTACATGAATGGGTAAAAAATATGCCTATAAAGTCTATGTATTCTATCTGCTAGTATGTCCAGCATGCCTTGTTTGTTTTGTTAGCTTGCGTAGCATACTGATAGGAATCACGCACACACTTAACTTGTCAAAATATGCTACACTCGCTTCCATGTCTGTTATTCAACGCTCCTAGATAATATAACTATAGGATACAATAATGCAATACCTTTGCTAACCTAGATACCCTGGCTATAAGGTTTAATAATTACCCCCTCCGTTCCAATTTATGTGAACTTGTTTGACTGGGCACGGAGTTTAAGAAAAAATAAAGACTTTTGAAATTTATGGTCCTAAACAAGTCAGAAAGGTGTCCAGAGTATTTGTGTGCTTATAAAAGCTTCTCATTAAGGGTAGAATTGGAAGTTTAAGCTAAATTATTTTCATATTTAGAAATGGGTCATTCTTTTAGGAACGAACCAAATAAAAAATAGGTTCACATAAACTGGAACGGAGGGAGTAATCAACAGCTTCATGCTGCTTTTGTACTGCCTCGCTTAGATAGCATGCATATAGGGATAAAGTATTATAAAATCAAGTCTAATTGTCAATTGTTATAAATCCTACCTATAAGGTATTTATTGACGCTACTAATCATGTGTTTTCGAACGACCTCACTGCCTAATTATGCGACTATTAGAGATCATGTCTATAGGGTATTGTCACCTACCTAAGATGCATACCTATAAAATCAGTGCTGGCAGTTCAAAGTTCTGGGGTTGTTTTGCATTACCTTATTACGCAAACGATTAGAAATCATGTTTATAGGACTTGTAACGCTCTAATTTGCCTTTACGTTAGTCCAGAAATTACAGCACTGCCTGTATAATATTGGAATCCTACAGGACTTAAGGATTGTAATACGTCTTAATTCTGTCTACTGCCTAACCAGAAATCTGTTTGCGTGCTTTCTTACTTATGTGTGGAGGTTAACTTGAGCCTTTTATTGCTATTGTATGCAGTCCTATCTATTTTGAATGGCCCCTAGTTTTATCATTTTTGAGCAACCTAAGTAAAGTCTAGAACCACCTGATAGTAGGTCCAAAGCCTCATGTACCATAGGCATGAGACGGGTAGTGCACGCATAGGGTACGACTTAGAATTGAATTAGAACACCTTTAAGTAAATAACTTCAACATAGTAATCAGGTAGCAGGAGATGATAGTTTGTGCCCGCTGAATAATACGAGCAACCTCTACCTTAAGAGAGTTGCGAAGTATTATTTATGTTCCACGGGGTGATCCTTTAGGCTAAAGAACTTAGGACCCCCCTCCTTTTTTTATATGCGTGTTATTTACACTTATTCATTCGACATAGATCAATATACAGTCAGACTTCTCTATAACAGCATCCCTATATAACAACACTTCTCTATAAAATCCAAGCTTTTTTGGAACCAATTTTTATGTTATGTTATAATATATGTTCTCTATAACAGCATTTTGCTATAACATCCAAAAATATTCAGAACAAACAAGGTTGTTATAGAGAGGTTTGACTGTAGTTTGTACCTTTGTAGTTAGTAAGACTTATACCGATTCTCATATGTTTTAATATAACTCTACAAATTCTGAATTTTTCTTCTATTTATTTGATCACCTAGCTTAATTACATAATCCACGTAGTCTAAAGTTCGGTCGGGACCCACAGTTGTGAACCTCGAAGAGTGCCTAACACCTTCTCTTTGAGGTAATTTAAGCCTTTATCCGATCTTTGGTGGCGTTGACTAGTCAAATAGAGTTATTTGCAAATAAGTGTCCTAACGCACCTTAAAAATTGTTAGCTGGCGACTCTTCTCTTTCAATACCCATTTAAAAGAGTTGTCACATGTCAAAACCCGTTTTCGCGAGAAAACGGGGCGCGACACATAACAAAGCTAATATTACATAACATTCCCACACTCAACTAAAACTAACATTACATATGATTCCCTGTAGATGCAAATAAACAACAAAGCATCCCAACGTCACAAAGAAGAACATCCACAATCGGACTAAATTTTTTTCTCAAGTTAGCTATTTTCCCAGCATCAACCACAACTAAAGACTCTAAATCAGCCACTTTCATCATCAAAATATTTCTTTTCAATTCCAAAGCCTCTATTCCTTCACGATCAACTAGTGTCATAATATTCTCAAGATCAACAATTTTTCTTTGGAGAGCATTCCTTTCATAACTAATAACTTCTTTTTACTTTTTTAAACTGCATATGAGACTTGTAATAAGTCCACGTCGACACCTCCTATTCGACCCGTGTGAGCTATTCGAATAGCAAGACGTTATCTTGAAGGAAAATTAAATCCTTTATTTGAACTCAACTCGAAATTGAAAAGGCTAATCAGAAAATTTTGGTAGAAATCAGATAACTTCTGGTATAATTTTGCTGAAATGAGAAGGAGAAGGTTATGGAGAAGAAATGGGAAGGGTAATAATGGGCGGGTTAAAGGTATAGATTAAAGGGGGTAAATTACAGGTAGTGCAAAGAATGTGGGTAGAAGAGTAGTGGGATAGGAAAACAAATGAGGGGGAGGGGGAGTATTTTTTAAAGCCACATGGATTTTTAAAAGGGTTAAATTCTGAAATTAGAAAATGCAGAAAATCCAATCCGTTAGTGGAGAAGGGTATGGACGAGCCCAATTGGTCACGGCAGTGGTATATCTACTGCCAACTTTAAATGAAGGGTATAATTATTCTATTTCGACTAGTAAAAGGGTAGTTTTGGCCCATTTTCATTTTACATAGTTTTATCCTAATATGTGTTGGTAAGTATAGCTAATTTTGAGGACATTTACCTATCCAAAAGAACAATCCATCACTTTACCACCAGCTCCATCACTTTTCCATTTCACACCAACCACCCCTCAAAACTCATTGTCTCTCCCTCTCTTTATTTTTTCATGGACCACAAAATAGAGAGGATTATCATTAAAATTCTAAACTGTTGAACCGAATTAAAACACAAAGATTCATCAACTTAAGCTAACCAGTTAAGTATGAAAAAAGGGAAAACGTACATATAAAGTAAGTACTAATGTTGTGAAAAGAAAAATTAGAAAGAAATAAGAAAAATCAACCCTGCAGACAAAATTACTCATATACAATTATAATATAATACCCAATGTATTCCCAGAGTGTGAGATCTAGGATAGTTTCCTAGCAGTCCATGATAAGATTCTTTTGACAATCTTCTAGATAAGAGGCTGCCATTGTGTAATAGTCAGCTTCTTAGTTGACAAAGGTACATGCAAGTACTTGAAAGGTAGGTCCCCATAGACATATCCCAACAAGTACANATATATATATATATATATATATATATATATATATATATATATATATATATATATATATATCCTAGGTTAGCTTATAAACCTGAGGCAGAGGAGAATTAATGAAAACACTGATGAAGGTGGTGTACAGACCCTACATCTCCATGGGCAAATAGTAATAGATCATTTGCAAAGGACAAAATGTGTAATCCCCATCTTTGCATACTTTGGATGAAATTTGAAGGTTTTTTCATTCTTCAAGATGTTCAATTGCCTACTAAGATACTCCATTGCTATAGCAAACAAGAAAGGGGACATGGGATTCCCTTGTCTCAATCCCCTTGCAGCATCGAAAGGTTCAGTTGGTTCGCCATTAACCAAGATATAGTAGTTCACTGTTTTAAGGCATTACATAATCCAATCAATGAATTTTCTGTAGAAAGCTAATTCCTCCAATACCTGCTCCAGATAGCACTATTCAACCGTGTCATAAACTTTTTGAAGGTCAATTTTGATCATACACCTAGGAGACATGTGCTTCCTAGTGTAGGCCTGAACTAGCTCATGAGCCAATATGATGTTATCACCTATTTTCCTCCCTGGTATGAAGCCTGCCTGTGCTTCACAAATAATATCAGGCATCACTTTTTGTAATCTTGATGCTAAAACTTTTGAAATAATTTTATATAAGACAGTGCAGTAGGAAATTGGCCTATATTGTTTTACTTTGAGGAGATTCTCAGATTTAGATATCAATATGAGGGCAGTACAGTTAAGTGCTATGTATAGCTTCCCTGTTGTGAAGAAAACTAAAACATCTTGGTTTATCTCTTCCTTGATTATATGCCATGTCTTCTTGAAAAAGATTGCATTGTACCCATCAACTATGGGTGCCTTGTCATCTCCAATCGAGCATAAGATGTCATAACTTTCAGTAGTTGTAACTTCCTTGCACAATGCCAATTGTTGTTCATGAGTAAACTTTGGTCCTTGTTGCATGATCAACTTGTTGATAGCAGGTAGCTCCTTGGCTGATGTCCCCATTAGGCTTATATAGAAGGTGATAATTTCATCACTGATAGCCTTTTGGTCAGTGATCTTATTTCATGTAAGTGTGTTAAGATCTACTATTTGCTTCCTGACTGTTCTCTCCTTGATTACTATTGTGAAATACTTGGTGTTAGCATCGTCCAATTTGATCCATCTAATTCTAGATTTCTGTCTCATCACATTTTCCTCTATTGAGGACCATTTTTCCAAGTCATGAGCTGTTTGTTTTCTTCTATCACTAGGGCATTTGTATATTGTTGGGCTAGTTTTTCTTGTATACTTTTAAGTTGTTTTCTGGTAACCTCAACCTTCTGTGTGATGTAGCTAAACTTCTCTTTATTGAGCTTCTTGAACAGAGGTTTCAAAGCCTTCAGCTTCATCCATATATTTTTCATAGGATTGTTATCCAATTATTTTTGCCACACCTCCTTGACAAGTGACTCAAATTGGCTATGTTCAGTCCAAATGTTGAAAAATCTGAAAGGAGTCTTGGGTGATTTGGTTATAGCTTTCAAATGAAGTAACATTGGAGAATGATCTGAAATGAATGGAACATCATATTCCACTTTAATATGGCCCCAGCATAGCATCCAATCTCCACTACCCAAGGCTCTGTTAATTCTACTACACACTATATCATGAATCTGTTGTTTATTAGACCAGGTGTGTACTGACCACTCCAATGCAGCTCATTTAGTCTTAAGTTGAGTATACAATCTTCAAAATCTTTGGTCTTAGAAGCATTAATGGGGTTTCCTCCTACTCTATCTGTGGAGTAGAGTACATCATTAAAGTCTCCACTCACCAACCAAGGGAGGTTGAACGAAGGTCCTAGTGTGTTCAGTGCATCGCATAAGGATAGTCTTTTCTCCACAGTGTTAAAGCCATAAATGATTGTCATAGTTTCTCAATTGCAGTAATTCTGTCTGTAACTTTGCAGCGAACCATCTGGGATGTAACTAGTAACAAGTTCACATATAACCTTTGCTCATCCCATATTAACCATATTATACCATTAAGTGCCTCTTGATAGTTATTATAGAATCCCCAACCAGGGGCTATGCTGTTAAAAATTTTATGTGCATTATGTTGCTTAACTTTTGTCTCCACTAATCCTGCTAAGTAGATTTTGGCATTTTTGAGGTAATTCATGAGCTCCTTTTGCTTGTACCTCTTATTAATGCCTCTCACATTCCACATGCACCAGGTCATTGAGAGGTACTTGCCCCTCCCCCTTTATCTGGAGGTATGATGTTATCACTTCTCTACTCCTCTGTACTGAGTATCTCAAAGGAATTTCTTATTGGTGTAGCCCCCAGCAGTGGAAAGTTACTACAATCCAGTGGAGGACTTTGGGGTATTGTAGCCTTTCCTTTACTCTTTGCAACATCTGCCTTTGGATCCTCTTTAATTGTCTGGGCATTTACATCTTTAAGGATAGCAGGATGCTGAGTATGCATCTTTGTTTGCACATCATTGCCTTGTATGCCTTGATCTTACTTCTGTTGCATCTGCCCATTACCTTTGATAGGTTTGTCCCTTGAATTCTTAGTTCTCCAAACTTGTTCCACTCTTTTTGGGCTCTCTTTTGTCTCTGAACTTCTGGATGTTGCTGGCCGGGTTATGGTTGGACTTTACATGAGTGACCTACTTGGAGGCATTGGTCACAAAAAGCAGGTTTCCAATCATAAGTGACGCTCTGCTGAAAAACCTCCCATGTTAGTTCCATCACAGCAACTTCTTCAGGGAGTGCCTTAGTTGCATTCACCTCTATCAACATCCTAGCAAATGAAATCCGAGATTGTTTTGAGGTGCATTCATCTGCAAAAATTGGTGTACCAATGAGACTTGCAATTCTACTCAAAGAATCACTACTCCAGCATCGCATAGGAAGGTTTGGAAACTTGACCCATAAAGGAATGTTTGTGAGGAACTCATTTTTAAAATCAAAGTTTTGTGCCCAAACCTTCAGAATCAAAGGTCTGTTGTTGATAGTGTAGGGACTTGCATAGAAGATTTCCTTCATGTCCTCTACACTTTGAAATTTTACCACATAATAGCCCTCCTCATGCAGAAACGGATCCGGGACAGCTACATTTGCCCAAGTTTTCCCTATATATCAACTCATCACATTGAAACCAGTTACCTCTCGTATTACATAGACAATAAGCGCACTCTTCCACTTCTCAGCTTCCTTATCTACTTCAGATTTAACTAGTTGAGCTATGGGTTGACCATTCACTATCTGTGGTGGAATGTAGGAGAGAGACATACCATTAGTTGCACATCTGCTTTTAGCAAATAGGCTTGTCCATGGTACCTTCATTGGGTTATTCTCTGTAGGATTTGTTCTTGTGCTTTCTAGATGTATAGCCTTCTCGCTTAGCTTCTTCAAAATTGGTCGCTTCAGAGTTGAATCCTCCTTCAGAATCTCCACTGGTGAACTCACTCCCACTGGGTTACTGTTCTATTGGATTTCTCCATTAGGGTTACAGTACTCAAGCCCAATCCCTTTGGTGTTGTTGCTGGATTTTCCTTTAGGTCTAATTGTGTGCTGATTTCACTAGCTAGAAGGTCTATCGAAGCTCGTCCAATGCTTGCATGGTCAGGATTGTTCTCCTCTATACTTTGAGCGTTTGCTTTCGATGTCTCTGGATGCATCCTTGCACCAATTGCACTCCCAAACGAAACAATTGATACTGATTTTGGTCGTCCCCTTCCCCTTCCTCTGCCTCGTCCAGGCCCCATAGTATTCACAGTGGCGTAGGTTAACTACCGTGCGCTGGGAGCATGGTGAGAGAGAGAGAGAGTAAAGTATAACAACAACCAAATTATATATACTACTCCTTTGTTACAAAATACTAATCAGAATAGCCTTGGCCTTATATTCTCATCTTAATTATGGTTCTTTTTACTCCAGCCGAAAGGTAATGAGTGTGCAGCCATTAGATTGAATTCTACGGCTGTGAGGGCTTTTAATACAAGTCAGATCAATTTTTAATTTATCCAGCAAATTATGCTATTTCTTGCTTGCTGCATATTTTCTTGCTTGCTGGAATGTTCAGTTCTTCAAAGCCGCAATATTATATCTAAAGAAGACGTATATCTCAAATTAGGAATTCAATTCTTTGACTTTTCTTACAACAGAAAATTTGAGCTACCATGTTACACGCTCAAAGTATTGTAATTATATGTAACCCAACTTATGCCAGACCATAATTTTACATAATTTAGCTGCCGCCTTTTTTATATTAAATTGTCTAATCAACATATATTTACGAAATCATGTTATAAATATATCATTTTATAGTGTGCATAAGATTTTTTTTATTAGTAGAATCAATTACTAAATTAAAAGTTGAGCATCTAACATTTTGCTTACTATATCTCATAAAGAAAGATTAGAAGAAAAGAATTGACAGGTCAAACAGGATTAACAATTTAACATGGTAAGGCTCAGTTGAATTCCAAGAACTAATTTGAATATATATAATTTTAAAAGTAAACTAGAAGTCCAAAGCAAGAAAAAAATAATTTTTTAAGCTTTAATTTACGAAATTGGGTCGTGCTTAAAAGTAACTAGTATCACTATATACAAGACAATTCAATAGTTAAAAAATATAGTATTCAAAATCTAATGTTATCGTAGGCATGCAAAATTTATTGGATTTAAATTCAATAATTAATTTGGATTATATTTTAATTATATTAGTCCAAATAAATATTATGGGCTAATATAATTGGATTAATTACTTAAGTCCAATAAATATTGACTAGGCTAGCCCATTTAGTTGGGCCACAAATGATGAGCCCACTTCATTAGGCCCAATATATCATCTTCTTAGAGGCCCGGTTTGGTGTCACGTGTCAAATGGCGTGGTCAAACGGAAGAGCCAATAGGATCATGCCACATGTCAAAATAACAAGGCATGCCAAGTCAAATTAAAAGGCTAATAAAATCGCGCCACATGTGCAAGTGACATACTCTGGCCAATCAAATACGGCCTTGTCACTCTTCAATCTGATTGGTCGGAAAGAGTTTTTTCTTATCATAACTCTTCCCTCCCACAACTATAAATAGGGGTCTTCATAACTCAAAAAGACATCAAAAGTTATAATAAGAATCAAGAAGGAGCTCCTAGATCAATCGCTGCAAATTCTTCCACAAGTTCACGTTCAAGCAATCAAGTTCAAGTTCAAGCTCAAGAACGAAAAACAAATCAAGTTCAAGCTCAAGAACAAAGAACAAATCAAGTTCAAGTTCAAGCTCAAGAACGAAGAACAAATCAAGATTCAAGGAGTACGAGTTCAAATCAAAGTTCGTGTAAGTTGAATTCAAGATCATCGTTCGTGGCAACAACTACATATTCAAGATCAAGCTCAAAGGCCCTTGGATTTATTTACAATTGGAAAGAAGAATAAGAGGATTCATAGAGATTGTACACTCATATTATTTGAAATCAAATACTACGATTGTTATAATATTTTTCAGTTTCGATTATTTTACTGACGTAAATTTATTATCTACAAATTCTGGCATGCCCAGTGGGACAATCTCTACCTCTCGTCTCAACTTTTCAATCACCAAAGTTTAATAACATCGAAATGGCTTCAAAGAAAATCAACCCCAGATCAACTTCCACCAAGGCTGCTAATTCCAGGTTCTACACTGATGTAGAAAGCATCCTTGATATTACCTTTGGAAGCTTTGGACCAACTATAAGGAGCAAGGCAAGCTCTTTAGGACAACAATCACTCCAAGTGTTGTCCGCATCAACTCCTGTTTTCGGATCTTCATTCTCAAAAGGAGGAAGTTCTTCCACAAACGCACCTGAAGGAGGAAGCGATGTTGCTGAAAAGATTAAGAAAACTCTTGCTCTACTTGACCTCTCCGAATCCAAGAACTCTACTGTGAAGGAAGATGATGATGCTTCAAGTGATGGATCCTCTCCACTTACACGACATAGTGTGAGCCATTCGAGAATCAATATGTG